CCCCCAGCATCCAACCGGTCGCCTCTACTAGGTCGGGGGAGGATCTGAGGACCCAGCTCACCAACCACCGTGGCAGTGGGGCACCGTCACCACCCCCTGTCGCCCCCGCTCTGGCTTGCGCACTCATCCAGGAGGGGGTGGCGGTCTTTGAACAAGCCTCCACGGCGCTGGCGCGCGTCGCGGCGGGCCTTCGGGCAGAGGAACAAGCCGACTTAGGCGCCACCTGAGGGGCGCCGGCGTCACCTCCACCTCGTCCCACCCGGGGGCGCAGCGGTCCAAGCACCCGGCCACCCCAGGCACCTATCACCCAGGGGGAGGTCAACTCGCCTCGACCATCGGAGAGGCGGGGAGGAGGGGACTCCCGCCGAGGCCGCCAGCGCGACGGCGATGGAAGGGCACCAACCCAAACCAGGCCCGCCGTGGAGAGGTTGGGCGATCACGTGTCGGCCCGGGACAGGCTGGGTCCGAGGCCAGCAAACGGGCCACCGGCGGAGGAATCATGCTCCCGCCGGCCACTGCGACAAGAATCGGCCACTCGGAGGTCGCCGAGCCATGGGCCACGCGCCCATCCGCGACACGAGACAGCTTCGCGTGGGTCCGCAGGGCGGGTCCCCCGACCCCACTCGCGACGTGAGCAGGCCTCCCGGGTCGAACGATCGGGTGAAACGAATGGTAGAGCTCCGAGCTCCCATCGGGTAGAGGTCGAGCAGCTGCGGAGGAGGATGGACGAGCTCCAGAAGAAGATCGATGAGAGGGACGGATCTCCAGAGCGCCAGGATATGTTGTCCTCCCCGTTCGCAAACGCCATCATGGAGGAGCCCTTACCTCGAGATTTTCGCTTTCCCACCATTAAAGCGTACTCGGGGACCACGGACCCGCGGGCACACATGACCAGGTACAGGGCCGCCATGATGATCATCGAGGCAACAGACGCCATGCTATGTAGGGGGTTCTTCGCCACCCTGGACGGGCAAGCGCATGATTGGTTCGGATCCCTCCCGGCGGGGTCCATCTCCACCTTTGAGGACCTCACCCGGCAGTTTCTATCCCATTTCGCCACCAGCGTACCACGGAAGAAGCAAATTGCCGACCTGTGTGATTTGAAGCAGGGGAGCTCGGAGTCACTGGCCGAGTCCCTCAGCAAGTGGAAGAAAGAGGCCATGGGGGTCGCCGACTTTGATGGGAAGTCGGCCATGGTGATTTTCCGAAACAACTTGAGGTCAGGCGCTTTTCACCAGGACCTCATCAGGTACCCCCCCAGGACCTATACCGACCTGATGGACAAGGCAGCAAGGTACGCTGACGCCGAGGCTGCCGAGAAGAGGAAGAAGGAATAGGAGGAAGGAAGAAGTCGAAAAGACAAGGCGCCCCAGGAGGAGCGCAAGACGCCGCGGCCACACCGACGTGAGTACGCTGAGGGGCCCAGGCTGAACCCCACACGCTATCTCACCCCGCTGACACAACCTGTGGGTACCATCCTAGCGCACGCGGAGGACCAGGGAATCGTGGTATTCCCGAAGGAGGAGTGCATGAAGATATCGGCGAGGGGGGACCCCAACAAGTACTGCAGGTTCCACCGGCAAAACGGGCACGATACAGACGAATGCATCCTCTTAAAGAGACAAATCGAGGAGCTCATCCAAATGGGTTACCTCGGCCAATTCATTAAGAGGCCCGACCAGGCGTAAGGCCAGGCGTAGGGCCAGAAGCAAGGCAATGTATGGAGGAAGGGGGGTGGCCAGGCGCCATCCACCTCGGCTCCCCGTAAGAGGGACCACCACGACAACAGCTCCGAGGAGGATGAGAAGACAACAGAGGACTCCCAGCCTCCGAGGAAACGTACCATCTACGTCATCTTCGGGGGGCCCGATGGAGGGGACTCGCCAGCCGAGCGGAAGAGGTGGGCGAGAAGCTTGTACGTGGGGAAGGTCACACGAACACCCCGCGAGAAGAAACCAAAGAGGGAGCCCATCACGTTCACCGACGCCGACCTACCTGACGGGCCCCTCCCCCACCGAGACGCCTTGGTGGTCAAGCTGGACATCAACAACGTGGTGGTGCACCGGGTGCTCGTGGACACGGGTAGCTCGGTCAACGTCATGTACCACGACACATTCACCCTGCTGGGACTCTCAAGAGGGCAGCTGGAGCAGGTACGAACCCCCCTATCCGGGTTCACGGGGGAATCAATCGAGACAGAGGGGTCGATCACTTTGATGGCGGAGATAGGCACCCCACCTCACACCAGGAGGTGGGAGGTCGAGTTCGTAGTCGTCAAAATCAATTGCGCCCACAACATCATTCTCGGCCGACCCGCCCTAGAGGACCTCAGGTGCGTGATTTCCATGGAGCACCTGTGCCTCAAATTCCCGACACCGACCGGGGTCGCGGTCGCCCGAGGGGACCAAAAGGTGAGCCGCAGTTGCTACTTGAAGGCGTGCTGCCAAATTGGTCAAAAGGACTGCCAGGTCCACACCAGGACGGCCACGTAAGAGGTGGATCTTGGCATTGCTATTCTAGGAGGAGGACCATTCCCCTCCCCCAATAATGTCTTAGTGAACGACAATAAGCGGAATAAAGTTTCATGTCACGAAACACGTTGTGAGTAGGACCCTTGTTACGAAGTTGGTTCTCCAAAAAAATAAAAAATAAAAAAAAATAAAAAATAAAAAATAAAAAATCATGAAACAAAGGGGGAACGAGTGCTCACTCATGACTTCCCCCCGCGGACCCTAAGGGGGCACGAGGTTCGACCTCGCGTACCAACCCCGACGGAGGACGCACCCTAAGGGGGCACGAGGGCCGACCTCGCGTACCAACCCCGACGGAAGAGCCCGGTGGCGTAGTCCGGAAGGACTTAGCTCGAGCGGCTGAGGTACCCTAAGGGGGCACGAGGCCGGACCTCGCGTACCAACCCCAACGGAGGAACCCGAGTGCCTAGGCTTGAACGAGCCAGGACGGAGCGGCTATCGCACCCTAAGGGGGCACGAGGCCGGACCTCGCGTACCAACCCCGACGGAGGAGCCCGAGTGCTTAGGCTCCAAAAAAAAAAATCAGGGGTGGTTTGGAGGACCTCGGCCCTAGGCCGAGGTCGAGGTCGGCCCGACCTCGGCGTGGCAGGTCGGCACGCGAGGTCGGCCGACCCCGGGGTCGGCACGGCCTCGGCGGGCGAGGTCGATGCGACCTCGACACCGGAGGTCGGCGCGACCTCGGCGCTGGAGGATGGCACGACCCGGCAGAGGGGGACGACCGTCGCCGAGGTCGACCCCGGCGTGGCTTGAGCCCGGGAGGTCGGCCGGAGGGCCACGAAGGCGCGGCCTGCAGGCCACCCCCGTGGCAACGTCACGGCGACGCCACCGCGCCGGCGCCGTGACGGAGTGACATGTCAGAGGCGCGGCGGTGCGTATGTGTCCTAGCAGATGAAGGAGTCATGTTCCGGATGGAGTTCTCATCGTTATCACAAGAAGTGCACTTTCAAGGCTGGGACGCGGACATCTCGGGGTCGGCATTCTGGGGGGTCGGCCGGAGCATCTACTCTCCTTCACTGACGATTACTCGCAGCTCGGAGTGTGGGGGACTGATGACAGATATATTGGGAATCGACCCGAGGGCGCGAAGCAAGAACGGGTCCCGGGGCGGCGCCACGTACCCGCCCCGGCCGAGGCCTCGCCACGTGGCCCCCGCACGGGCCACGTTGGAGGCCGGGCCTGCCTCTCCAGGAGGCCGGGCCTGCCTCTCCAGGAGGCCGGGCCGGCCTCTCCAGGAGGCCTGGCCTGCCTCTCCAGGAGGCCGGGCCTGCCTCTCCAGGAGGCCTGGCCTGCCTCTCCAGGAGGCCGGGCCGGCCTCTCCAGGAGGCCTGGCCTGCCTCTCCAGGAGGCCGGGCCTGCCTCTCCAAGAGGCCGGGCCGACCTCCACATGGGCCCGGCCTGGGCCCATGATGAGCTCGGCCTGGCCCCCGCAGCGCGGCCCGGTCGCGAGACCGGGCGCGGTCAACTCCAGATCCAACTAACCCCCCGTTTTAGGGGGAGGCGGTTGGGGGCTTGGCTTGTATAAAATCCCCCCTCCTTGTCCTGACAAGGGACACGCTATCTACGATCTACATTTTCTACATACTTTGTCCTAAAATACTACTGTAATAGCCAATTCTACGGCATTTAATACAATCTACGGTCTCACTGCCTTTGCTAAATCATTCGTACCATTTATTTATTATTCGTACTCTTATTCGGGTTAGTTAAGTTGGATCCCTGGTTTAATTAATTCCATCAATGACGTTTAAAAACAACACTAATATTAAATATATCTCAATTAAAAATTAAGATACATAATACATCATTTCGAATAAAAGTTAGTACGCACGAAATTAAAGTAAAATAATAAAAGTAAAAATGTAAATTTTTAAATTATGATAATATAAATTATTTTAATGTATGAATAAAAATTTGGTGCAGTATTTAGGTTAAACAGATTAGAAATTAGTAAAATTTAATTTAAAAGTTTGGTAGTTTGAGTGAGAGTTGGTGTTAGCAATTCAAAGTAATTACGGCTACATATATTTGCATAGACAGATACGCTTAACTTATTGATTCAGTAGACAATATAAATATGCTTAATTATTAATTCAATAGATAATATTTAAAAAAAGAGATTAATATTCATAAACAATAACCCAATAGGATAGTTCAAGTGGCAAATGAGATTTTTTTGAAGAAAAATTACAGGATAATCTGGGTTTAATTCCCTTACAAGGCCAGCTTCTGCTCCTCTCGGAGCGAATCGGGTAGATTTGAACCGTAAAAAAAAATTCATAGACAAATTATGTCATAAATTGTGATTCAATCTTTTTGAGAGAAAAGGTATTAGTACAGCGTACAACAGCATCTATGGTGGGGGGTATGGGTATTGTCTTGTGAATTGTGCCGCAACAAACAATCCACTCATCAGAATTCCAATTATATTCTTTACTTTCACCCACACGTCACGGCTCACATATTTACACCTCTCTCTCTCTCTCTCTCTCTCTCTCAGACAAAAGGCCAGACGGCGACCATTGAATGCTGCGAGTCTGTGACTCGGCCGTGACTCGGTCTCACAAGGAATTCCACAGCCACTCCCCGCTTTGGTTGACTCGGCCGCCGGCCTACCTTTCCCTCTTTTTCAAACAACCACATCTCTCTCTCTTTCTCTCTCTCTACCCACTTTCTTGAACCCAGACTGCTATATTAAGAAGCACCCATTTATCCAAAACCAACCATCTTTCCGATTCTTTCCCTTTCAAGATTTACTATTCAGCTTCAAGATCAAGATTCCTGTCTTAAATTCCCACACATTTAAAGTCAACAACTTTAGGTATTGGCGAAGTTGGTAAGTCCATTCTTATCGAGATCGAACCAGTCTGTTTTGGGCAAGCAAGAAGAAGAAGAGAGATGGGTGGGTTGTTTATAGAAAACTCAGACGAAGGCGGGATAGCTAGAAGGCTATGGATGAAGTTCAAGGATGAATCAATCTTTGCTACGTATACCCCATTTGTGATCGGCTTGGCATCTGGGACTTTGGATTCTCACACATTTCTTCACTGTATCTCTCAAGATGTGTATTTTTTGCAGGCTTATTCTCAGGCGTAAGAATCTATATGTAATTGGTTTTTGTTTCTTCTTCTTTGATTGAGATTGTGTTATTGAATTGAGTTTGGGTATTGTCTTTAATATGTAAATGAAGGTATGAATTAGCGGAGGAATATGCGGACGACGATGAGGACAAGGAAGCTATAGACATGTTGAGAAAGCGAGTCTTGAGGAAGCTCAGCGATCATGATAATATTGTAAGAGTAAGTGTTATTCATTCAACAGATCTTTCTATTCTCTATGGCCATTCAATCATATAGGAAGTTTGTATTATTGAGTAAGAAAGTGTTGCATATATGATTATATTAGGAATTGTTAGGATCAAGCACTATTGCTGAAACTCGAATCCGTGACCTCATACTAAGCGCTTACCACTATATAAAAAATTATACACACAGCACTGTCACGTTTTCGAGAGGTAGGATGGTCGACTTGACCCTTCACTGGCCTCTGCCTAATTGCTGGACTTGACCCGTTACTGGCCTTTGCCTAATTGCTGGACTTTGCCCCAATTGCTGGACTTGACCCATCACTGGCCTCTGCCCAATTGCTGGACTTGACCCCGTTACTGGCCTCTGGCCAATTGCTGGACTTGGCCCGTTATCAGCTTCTAGCCAATTGCTGGACTTGGCCCATTACTGGCTTCTAGCCAATTGCTGGACTTGGCCCGTTACCGGCTTCTGCTGGCCAATTGCTGGACTTGGCCCGTTACCGTCCTCTGGCCAATTGCTGGACTTGGCCCGTTACCGTCCTCTGGCCAATTGCTGGACTTGGCCCGTTACCGGCCTCTGGCCAATTGCTAGACTTCGCCCGTTACCGGCCTTTGGCCAATTGCTTGACTTGGCCCTTTACCGGCCTCTGGCCAATTGCTGGACTTGGCCCGTTACCGGCTTCTAGCCAATTGCTGCACTTGGCCCGTTACCGGCCTCTGGCCAACAGAAATATATCTTGATACAATAGGGAATATGATAATTGATGGGAAGGCCATATTGTGATGACTTGCTGAACAAAAATTGTTGTTAATTGAGGAAGTGGTCTGAAATGAATTATGGATTGGAAAAAAATGGGGTAAATGAACTCCAGATTTCCTTTGCCTTCTTCCCTTCTTAATGTTGTGTCGATGCAGGATTGGGGATTTGAGCTTCCAAAAGATGGCACTTGTGACGGTGCAACGGTGAAATACACAGACTTTTTGATGGCAACAGCGTTGGGAAAAGTTGAAGGAGAAAAATTTTCTGGTAAAATTGTGACTCCTTTCGAGAAGACAAAGCTTGCTGCTTATACTCTAAGTGCCATTGCACCTTGTATGAGGCTATACAGCTTTGTTAGTAAGGAAATTAAAGCCATTTTTGACCCTGAAGAAGACAAAAGAAACGCTTATGAGAAGTGGATTGACAGTCTCTCCTCTGATAAATTTGAGGTGTGTGATTGTTTTGATGATCACATAAATCTTTTAAATGTGTTCGTTCTTCATATATTATTGCTCAATTCATAGAATAATATGGTTCATATATTATATCCAGGCAGTGGCTTCAACAATTGAAGACTTGCTAGATAAACTGAGCGTATCTTTGACTGGTGGAGAGCTTGAAATCGTGGAAAAGCTATATTTCCAAGCTTTGAAACTCGAATTAGAATTCCTATCTGCTCAACCAATTATCCAGTCGTCCCTTGTACCCGTTTCGCAAGTGCAAGTGCCCGCAAAATCTAATCTTAAAGTGTTCTGTGATTTTGACATGACATGTTCTGCCTTCGATTCATCCGCCCTTTTAGCAGAGATGGCAATCATGACTGCCCGAAAAGCTTATCTGAATGAATGTGAAACCCAAGCCTCTCAGGTTATAACACCCGATCTTTCAGCTGCTTGGGGCAGTCTATCGAGCAAGTACATCGAGGAGTACGAGCAATGCATTGACAGCATTATACCCGCTGAAGCAGGTATGCCATTTGGGTTTTTACATTTAAGTTCATATGTTGTGAGCTATAGACTAAATATTCTGTAATTCAATTACAGTTGGGAATTTTGATTACGAGGGCCTCTGTAAAGCACTTGAAAACCTATCTGATATTGAGAAACGGGCAAATGCAATGGTGGTGGATTCTGGTGTATTGAAAGGGCTGAGTGAAGATGATATAAGACGGGCTGGAGAGCACCTAATATTTCAACGTGGTTGTAAAAACTTCTTCCAGGAAATCACGAGAAATGAAGACCTTATTGCGGGTGTTCATGTGCTATCGTACTGTTGGTCCGGGGATCTCATCAGGTCCGCCTTCTCATCAGGTATGCTTACGTGAATTTATCATTTTTTTTTAATACTATTGACTCTGTTACAATGCAGTATCTGTTCATAACTACTTTCTCAACCTACTGAAGCACAAAGAGTCAATACCGCCTCCACTGAGGCTCGAACCCACAACCTCCCATATGGGAGAGTAACTTGGTGTCACTAGATCACAAGGTCATTGGCTTTGATTTTTATTTAATATACCCACGATACAATCATGTTTTGTATGAGCGTGAAGGGACTAACAATGAGGCAATCTATCTAACATTTCCAACTTAGGGGTTGTGATTGAGTGGAAGGGACTCATCCATCCTTAACCAAAGGTCAAGGGATCGATCATTGGCTTTGGGTATGGAGCAGCCTTAAATCTCCCGACCAGTTGTCCCACCCTTACAATTCAGCGAGGGGATTAGTCACTGTGTCCGACGGTGAGAACCCTGGATTACACCCCCAAAAAAATCTCACATTTCCCACCATTTCTCTATTGCTATAATTCCAGCAATGATGATGTTGAGGCCTTGTCTCGTTGTCGTGGTTCATTGTGTGAATACCTAGACTAGAATTTGACTTTTCCTTCATTGAGCAGGGGACTCGGGTGTTCTGAGTGTGCATTCAAATGAGTTGATTTACGAAGGATCTATTACCACGGGTGAAATAATCCAGAAGATGGAATCCCCTATGGACAAGCTTGAAACCTTTAATGGCATACTAAACTGCCATGGAAATGCAAGCAAACCTCTAACGGTGTATATAGGAGGTTCAGTTGGGGACTTGCTTTGCCTTCTCAAGGCAGATATTGGCATCGTAATAGGTATGAGTGCGAGATTGAGGACGCTTGGAGAGCAATTTGGCATTACGTTTGTCCCACTCTTCTCCGGATTAGTCAAGAAACAAAGAGAACTATCCGAAAGTGGTTGCTGTCCCTGGAACGGGATGTCTGGCATTCTCTATACAGTCTCTAGTTGGGCTGAGATACACGCCGCCATTTTGGGGTCATACAAAACCGGGGATAACTAGTTCTGCAAAACATAAAAGAATATAGGTAGGTTATATCGTCTAACGCTAACAGGGTGGCTTATATTTTTGTGTATGCCCGTGTGAGCTCTCGTGTTTGTTTTTTTTTCCTGATCGAGGTATGCCTACTCGTGTGAACTCGCTGCCATTCTTCTTGCACAGTCCTCTGATACAAAAGGTTATGCCAGGGGGCTTGAGAGCAAGGAAGAGTTTATGTTATGGGATTGCTACTTTTATTTTCCAATTTGTATGTTTATATATTTTGAATATGAGGTGGTTTTATTTTATCTCATTTCATGCTGTAATACCTAAAACATGAGGGAAATGCAGTAGAGATCTTTTAGTGGTTTTCTGCTTGTAAACAAACAGACATAATTGCCCTCTGAATCTTCATCATTTATAAATATATTATTTTATTTATTTATTGTAATGTTAAAGATGTATGTTTACAGCAAATTATTGTGTGGATTGTGGTTCACTAAGCTGTGTGGACCACGGTCCAAAATATCAGCGTGAATATTTTGAGTAAAATTAATGTACATTATGTGTTAGAATAATGTACATTACGTACTAAAATAATACACATTATGTGTTAAAATAATGTACATTACGTGTTTAGAATAATGAAACATCTGGACCATAATGTATGTTACGTTTTAAAATAATATACATTAATGTTTTAATGTACATTATGAGTTATAAAAATATATGTTGCAGCTGGCACACGAAAAAAATAAAATTAAACAAAGCAACATCATTTTTGAACCACTGGATCATGGTCCATGCAATAAGGATTGACAGTTTACTCTTATCCCGTAATGGGTATCACAGAAATGGTTTAGATCACCAACTTTTTGTAGATCAGAAAGTCACACACATCAAGGGTGTGTTTGGTTCGCACATAGGAATCGGAATCGGAATGGGTATCAAATACTTGGTAATGGTAATGGGTTTTGGTGAAAGTATTTAACATGTTTGGTAGTAGGGTGGAATGGGAATGGTTACTAATAGTAGTGCTTGAGAATGAATAAGGGAATGAAACCCTTATTGTATTTGGGTATGGATTTTTCAATTGATGGGGAATTCGAAACCCATAATAGTGTTCTAAAAACCTATAAACCAAACAACAACAATCACTTTCATACCCATTTCTATGAACAAAACCCACCAACCAAACACACCCCAACTATACCATAAGTTTAGAATCCTAAACTCTGTCTCTCTCACGTGAGTAGTGACACAGCACTGCCAGTTTTGTGATTCAACTTTAAGGCCCACATGTATGCATGTGAAAATGGGCAGTTTCTTCTGTTAATCTTTTTTAATTTAAAATGCATGCACACACAAGAATTGAAGCTCGATCAGACAAATTCATCCATCTTTAATTTCTCCTCTCCTCTGATTTACCTAAATTGGGAATCTTGATTTACAATTCATGAATCTTTGTCATTCTTGGAAGCTACACCTACACCTTCAATTCTGGGATCAACAAATTTTCATTTCTTCCTCCTTCAAACAAGAACTCAAAAACAGATGCACAAATGCACGTGTAAGCCAAAACACAACTTTAATTCTCCAAACCAAGGAAAATGCTACTTTTATTTATATCAACTTTTGATGTGGTTAGGTTGAATCACCATCATTTATTCCCTATATTTATTATAATATAAATATAACTTCACTATTACTTCTTACAGAAAGTTGAATCTAACCCCAACTCCAAGAGTCCCCACACCTCGGTCCGAGGATGTAAAACGGTGATTCAATGGCCCGTTGTTGAGATTCGAACCTTGGTCTCTTCTTTCAAATACTGTCTACTGAACCAGTGAGCAAAACATGTGCGGGCAACTTCACTATTACAAAGTAACTTAGTGACTCAGCAAACAAGGCTAAATTCCCTAGGGGTACAAGAGATCTGGCCCTTTTGAGCATAACACCACACTGCCGATGCCGAGTGTAGGGGGGTGGGGGGAATTTATAGTTTTTACTGCCAAACACGTTGACCAGATAAAAGACATTGAGAACCAAGAACACATTCCACCCATATTTAATGTTGGGATCACTGTGCTCTATAAACTCCAAAAATTTCCACTCTCTAATAGCATCTTAACAGCTGTTTTATTGCAGAATTGAAGTTAGTTTACTCTACTCATCATGATGCAGTAAGGGAGAATATTGAAGAAGAGTGATATGAAGTTTCTGCATCATAGTGTTTCATTAGTTTTTTTTTTCTTCTACTGTTACATTGGTAGTAGTAACAAGTTTCTTGCTTCTGGGAAAGTTGAGTTGAAGCATGAAACCTCAGTGTTACTGTCAATAAAAGCGGGTCTTGTGGATCCGTTGGATCGGCTTAAAGACTGGAAATTGCCAGATAAAGGAGCAGTGAACACCTCAGTTCCTAAGGACAGACCTTCAATGCGAGATGTTCTAACTATGCTCGCAGAGGCAAAGCTTCGGAGAAAAAGCAGCAGCACCAGCAACAGCAGCACGGGCAGAGGGGGCGGGGGTGATGCTTCAAACAAAGGGATAATTGACTGAAATATGACACTAGCCTCCTGCAATTCCCAAAATATGACGCTGCTGAAAATTGGACGAAATTATGAAAAACACGTTTGAGAAATGCGTTTTATCACATTTCCAACGCAAGTATCTACTCCACTTGCGTTTAATGCGTTGACCGGAAATGTGATAAAACGCATTTCTCAAACGTGTTTTTCATAATTTCGTCCAATATTCAGCAGCGTCATATTTTAGGAATTGCAGAAGGCTAGTGTCATATTTCAGTCAATTATCCCAAACAAAGATCACCCAGTATTTGACACATCACCTGGGCCTTGTGTAAGAACAAAACCCATCCTTCCGGGGCTAACCCCAGTCAAGATGACTAAGGATACAAATTTGTAACGACAAGGTCATGAGTTCAAATACCAGTCCTCTTAGTTTAAGCCGGTCAGCTATGGACAACTTAGACTGGTTTACCTCTTTGTGATCAAACCAACTAAGGTCACAAAAGCGGTGTTTAATTTACCCAGTATACACCCTCAGATAGTGACTGGTAGTTTCCGTCGTCACCCCAACAAAGAAACCCATCCTTCCTTCCTCTTTATTTAGTTACTTGTCTCTATGTAGAATTTATTAGTTGATTTCAAAACTGTGAAATCTGTATGTTTAATGAAGCAAATATGGCATTCATCCCACAATTAATGTTGTGAGCTAATTTCTTTTCTGTTTTTAATAAAAGAAAACAACAAGATATATGTGTCTCAATTTCACCCTATCACAAATTGGTCCAATCTCCATGCACTTAACCTTAAATCATGTATATTATATATACATAATTTTTTTTTTTAAATATGGGCCCCCTAAAAATGGGAGCTCTGTGCGATCGCACATGTTAGACATGCTTATAACCGGCCCTACTCAACACTACATTATTATTAGTATGATATATTACAGCACATGCTAACATACTATAAATTATTACTCTACTATCAACATATAACACATATGAAACAACTATTAGTATGAAACACATGATTCACCAATAGTCATTTTTACTTGCATACAAAATATCACATTAAATATCATTTCTTTTTCCTATATCAATTGCTATAACCATATAAATATATTTCTCATACAAAAATAGGTTTTACTTACGCCAAAATAGAATTTATAATATATAATAGGTATAACATTCCACCACAAAATAATCACAAGTTATAACTTCATAAAATTCCATAATTTACCACCACATACCACCAAGTCAGTGTATATCTAAAAAAAAAAAAAAACCACCAAGTCAGTGAGGAGGAAAAAAAATACTCAACAAGAGCAATTACTTTGACCCCAGTGATAATAATTAAAAAAAAAAAAACAACCAGAGACCAACCCAGTTAGCTCGAGATCAATTCCAAGTATTTTTTAATATTAATAGTGATATGAGTGTTTTATAATATCTTTTCTATTCAAATTATTTTACTTAATTAATTATATATATTTCATATTTTTTTAAATTTCATTTTGATATATTTTAATTTTCATCCTAATTAACAATATTTATGACTCGGCCTCTAAGTAATGTTTTTCAAAATATCTCATTAGTTTTTAATATTTCGCCCCCACTGCCGAAGATTTCTGGATCAGTCGCGGAAAATGAGAGCTCCATTTTTTTTTTTTGGAATGCTACTGACTCTATTACATACATTGCAGTATCTGTTCAAATATACTTTCTCAACCTAATGAAGCACAAAGAGATCACATGAGAAATGTCACTACATGCCATCTGAGCACAAGGTGCTTGACGCTCAGTTAATATTTATTCAATAAATAAATAATTATTTAGGATGAATAGTAAGAGTTTATCCAAAATAAACATTGTATCCACTTTGAAGATTCTATTATTATATTTGAATTTAATTTAATTAATTATAATTATTTAAATTCAAATATAATAAAACTTAGTAAAATTTAAATAAATAAATAAATCTATTGAATTGAGGAAGCTGTGGAGCTGCGCTGAAGAGGAAGCTAAGGTGATCTGATGAGGGAGAGATTATTGAATTGAGTGGAAGAGGAAGAAGCAGTAAAGCAATTAATTAAGGAAGACAAATAAATTAATTTAAGGAAGACCAGGCCAGATCCACATTTAATTAATTGATTTAATTTGTGATAAATCCGATGAAAAAGTACTATACGCAAATTAAATTAAATTAAAGCGTCCTATCCTATCCTAAAACAACGCAACACCACAACTAACCCCTAGCGTTAACTATAAATACCATTGCCCATATATACACACAATAAACACACTACACACAAACAATAAACAATAAACAATAAACAATAAACAATAATGGCGGCTGCCCAGAACTTTGTTACAGTGTTTCTGGTGTGCATATTTGTCCTGGCCGTTGCGGCTGACGCGGCAAGGGACAAGGAGACATTTAAGAGTGAGGAAAAGTCGTTGAAGGACGAGGACAAGATTCTTAAGGATGAGGATAAGCTTCTTAAGGACAAGGATAAGGTTCTTAAGGATGAGAACAAGGGCGAGGGCAGCAAGGCTCTTAAGGCCGAGGGTAATGACGAGGGCGCGGCTCTTAAGGAAGAGGGTTTGGCTAATAAGGACGAGGGCTTGGCTCTTAAGGCTGAGGCCTCGGCTCTTAAGGAAGCGGGCAAGGACGAGGGCAAAGCCCTTAAGGACGAGGGCAAAGCCCTTAAGGACGAGGGCAAAGCTCTTAAGGACGAGAGCAAGGCTCTTGAGGACGAGGACAAGGCTCTTAAGGACGGGGTAAAAACCTAGAAGAATAATAAAGCAATCTATTATATTTAAGGTGAAACATCATAGGATTTCTATATTTGAAGTCAATATCATATTTTAAGATAGTGTCATCATGTAAAGACTATATGTCATTTTTAATAGTTGAAAATAAAGCTCATGCTTCACGTTCTTATTGAATATATAATCAAATTTTATCATTTTTGTATAGCACTAATAATTTAAAAAGTAATGTTTAAAAACTTCAATGAAATCTAAACTAATAAAAACATAATTGAAACAATAAGAAAATTGAAACATTATTTAATTAATTAATTATAATATGATTATATCTTCAATTAAATTAATTATAAATGTCAGCGAATAACACTGGTTTGATTTTATTTTTACTACAAAATGTATTAATATTGTTGATCATGGATCTTACAAAATGCAATGAAATCCCCACATTCACTCTCTTTCTTACAGCAAATTTTGAAGTAATATAATGATAATATATGAATATTAAAACACATAATATATGTTCCATGCACCTCAACTAAATGATCAAAGACAAATATTTTTAATATTGACAAATAACACGAGACCAGTTATTAAGGAAATAAGTAAATAAAATTTAAAAGTAAAACGAAATTTAATCCTCATTAAATTAAAGTAGTACAACTAGGGTTGTTAACGAACCGAACATAAACGAACGGAGGTTGAATTTTGGAGTGTTAACAAGCACGTTTACGAACATGTTGATTTACGTTCATGAATACGTTCATGAAACTTTAATAACCAAACACCTGCATATGTTCATATGATCACAATTTGTTCGTGAACAACAAATAATCTACGTTCAAGAAATCAAACATTCATTCGTTTGTGAACAACCGAGCTCTAAATTTTGTTTGTTAATGGTTCGTTTACCTTAACAACCGAACACTTACCGAACACGAATACGAGTAGTTTGTTGAAAGCTCTGTTCGCTAACACCCCTAAGTACAACAACACTTTCTGAGAAAGGGTATGTGTGGAACATGACTCTTTCAAAAAAAATTAATACTCCGTAATAATTTTACATTAATCTTTTAAAATTATTACATTAATTACATTTATCTTTTTAAATTATTACTGCTATACGAAAATTGTAAAATATTAATTTTACTATGAAAAAAAATAAAATAATTTTACTACGAAAATATTAATATACATAGTATATATATACAGTATACACAATATATATACACACAGTATACACATTATACATGATTTTGGTTCCCATGCATGAGGTCTCTATTAAAAATGAGATCATGAGAACTCATCACCACCATGAACTCATTTAAAATTGATGGTTGAGATTGATTGAGTTTTATACATTAATTTAGGACATATTTTAAGCGTAAGGATAAAAGAGTAATTGTGTTAGTGTGGTTATTTTTGGTGAGAATAATAATGTAATATTTAGCATACTAATAGACTAAATATGAATGGTAATATGTAATATATCTTTGTGATTGGAGAGGAATATGACCGGTAAATAACGCAAGAACGGTGAAGCATACATCGCCGGTAGCTTGTTCATGTCGGGAGATAACACGGGTATATACTCCTGCACTGATTTTTAATTTTTTTTTAGAACGGAAGTTATTGCATTATATATTAATGGCGTGTGCAAATTGTTTGACTTGGACGTGCGGATGAGGATGGCTTTTTTGAATTGAGAATGGTTTTCCAGGATTCATTATGCTGTAGTCATTGACGGCAGTGAGTGTTTTATTTTGTAACGTTGGGGAAACAAATAGTTAACACATTAGAGGGTATGATATATGGGGGTGGGTGCATGGAGTTGTTATGGTGTATGCGTGTTTGTGGATTTGGGAGATGAACAGTTAGTTTATGATGAATTCTGGCTGGTGTGTGCATAAATTCTCCTAATTTCTATGATGTGGGCGTGTTGACGATTTCGAGAGATGAGCAGGTTCTTAACTTTATAATATTTTTTATGACGGCGTGTGCATGTAATTATATGAGCTTGTGCATGTTTATGTTTGGGTTTGTGTTTAACGTGGTGTGGGAAAATCGTAACGCCGTAAGATTATGGTAGTTGGCGGTTTGTGCGTGAAGTTATTATGGTCTGTGCGTGTGGACGGTTTTGAGAGATGAGCAGGTTTCAAACATTCTAATATTTTCTATGACGGTGTGTGCGTGTAATTGTATGGGCTTGTGCATGTATTTGTTAGGGTTTGTTTTAAACGTGGTGTGGAAAAGTTCGAATGTCGTAAGATCATGGTAGGTGGCGGTTTGTGCAATTGTGCGTGAAGGTATTATGATCTGTGCGTGTTGACGGTTTTGAGAGATGAGCAGGTTTCAAACATTCAAATATTTTATATGATGGTGTGTGGGTGTAATTGTATGGGGTTGTGCATGTATTTGTTTGGGTTTGTTTTTAACGTGGTGTGGAAAAAACCTAACGCCGTAGGATTATGGTAGTTAGCGGTTTGTGCGTGAAGTTATTATGGTCTGTGCGTGTATATGGTTTGGGTTGAGTGAATAGTAAAATGGGAGTTGGATAGTTATTGGACGTTTCTTAAACTATAAGCCAGTTTGAACAGTCTCATCTCAAACCATCTTAAACTACATTAAAGGTAACAAAGTGCTGAATTCAAGCAACAAAACCTTTCGTGCTTCAATAATACGAGGTCATTGTCATCAGACAAGTAACACAATTTTGTAAATGGCTTTAGAACTAGGGGTGTTCAATCGGTTAACCGTTCGGTTAACCGAACCGTTTTAACCGAACCGAATTAACCGAAGTTTTTTTTTCCTTTAACCGTTAACCGAACCGAAGTTTGCTCTACCGAATTCACCGAACCGAAATTTTTTTCGGTTAATCGGTCGGTTAACCGATTAACCGAACTTTTTAAAGCTAAAATTTAAAATTCAAAAAATAACACCTAAAATAATAAATCTAATTAAAATAAAATACATATCATAATAAATTCATAACAAAATATACAAAAACATTAATTAGAAACTCCAAACATCCATAACTTCAAATTAGTATTTATATTTATATTATTATTTATATATATATTAAAAACTTCGGTTAACCGTTCGGTTAATTCGGTTAACCGACCTTTCGAACCGAATTAACCGTTAACCGAAGTTTTAAAATTCCTTTAACCATTAACCGAACCGAAAAAGTTCGGTTCGAAAACGGTTAACCGAACTTTGTCGGTTCGGTCGGTTAACCGAAAATTATCCGAAATTTGCACACCCCTATTTAGAACAGCACACCACAGTGACGAGCGGACTTCACATTTCAAGCCTATGAGCTTCACCCATCGACCCGTTTTAATGCAGTTGAGGCCAAGCTTTACATCACCAGAATCAACAGTCACTCTTAAAACAGTTCCAACATGTGGGAAGGTACATAAAACATCTCTTGATAAAGGAATAGGTTCCGACTGTAAAGGAAGCGGATTTTCCTTTTCATCTTCTAGGCTGTAAAATAAAAATAATAAATAAATAAATAAATAAAAGAGCAAAAATGTTCTCAATAAAAAGTGATTTCAAATTTAAAGTAGATTTTATCTATCCAATTTACCAGATCCGCACAAATAAGGGTGGTAGATTTTTGAGGTTTTACAGTTTTCAAGAAATTGTGTTTTGTTTGATGAACTTTGAGATTTAGCTTGTCAAGAATATTGTGAGTGTTCATTACCATTGGGAATTGGGTCAAAGTTTGTATATCTTGGTAATTAACCCTAAAAATTAGCAGAAAAATAAAACCACAAAAATTACTTGGATTTGATTGCAACTGGGGGAGTGTCAGTACCATCCTACACGAAGAGCATCCACTGGTCTCCTTCAGTTTCACACACATGAAGAACCTTGCATTGAAGAGAAGAAATAATACCAAATTATCATAATGGCAATTTTGAGTAAGAGATGCAGTAAAAGTTGGATAATTCTGAAGAAATAGGCAATAGATTAAAGTGGACTAGATTATAAATGAGCACCTTACAAACCAAACTGAAGCCGACACCTTCCTTCAACTTTTTCAATTGTAGTAAGTCAGCACGTCGGAAATTAACTCCGCCTCCCTCCCCCCCAACACTACACACACAACACCCCACTATCACGTCGGAAATTAAAACATTGCTTTTATTTAAAAAAACATTACTTTTTAAATGGAAAATGATATTTTCTGCTTGTGAATTTTACCTCTTATTTCTCCCATTCTGATATGACTTCCTATCATTGGATGCTCATGAATTGACCCACCATTAATTAAAAATAAAAATAATTATATTAATCTTTTTAAATTATAATTGCTATACAAAAATGGTAAAATATTATTTTTATTATGAAAAAAAAATAATTGTCCACTACTTTTTAAATTTTGATTATACTAGAACAACCAATGTATGTTCTTAAAAAAAAAAAAAACTAAAAGTAAAGCGACACCTAAAAATTTAAGACCAATTCAAAAATAAAATAAACTATTATTAGAATATCAAATATTTTATTTGTAAAATCAAATAATTTGTACTTTTATAATGTTCCAATAAGTATGTTTGGTTAATAAAAATAATAATAATATTATTAAATTAATATTTTTTGAAAGAGTCATGTTCCACCTACCCTTTTAAAAAGTGTTGTTGTACTACTTTAATTTAATGAGGATTAAATTTCGTTTACTTTTAAATTTTATTTACTTATTTCCTCATTACCGATCTCGTGTTATTTATCAATATTAAAAATATTTGTCTTTGATCATTTAGTTGAGGTGCATGGAACATATATTATGTGTTTTAATATTCATATATTATCATTATATTACTTCAAAATTTGCTATAAGAAAGAGAGTGAATGTGGGGATTTTATTGCATTTTGTAAGATCCATGATCAACAATATTAATACATTTTGTAGTGAAAATAAAATCAAACCAGTGTTATTCACTGACATTTATAATTTTTTTTTTGAAAGTTACTGGCTCTATTACATTGTATCTGTTCATATACTTTCTCAACCTACTGAAACACAAAGAACCAATAACGGGCTCTATTACATTGTATCTGTTCATATACTTTCTCAACCTACTGAAACACAAAGAACCAATAACGCCTCCACTGAGGCTTGAACTCATAATCTTCCAAATGGAAGTCCAACCCGGATACCATTAGACCACATAGTCCTGGTTTATAATTAATTTAATTAAAGATATAATCATACTATAATTAATTAAATAAATAATATTTAATTTTCTTATTGTAAAATTAATTGAAAGATCTTCAATTATGTTTTTATTAGTTTAGATTTCATTGAAGTTTTTAAACATTATTACTTTTTAAATTATTAGTGCTATACAAAAATGATAAAATTTGATTATATATTCAATAATAACGTGAAGCATGAGCTTTATTTTTAACTATTAAAAGATGACATATAGTCTTTACATGATGATATGATATAGGGGTGACAAGAAAAAAAAAAAAAAATCGACACTATCTTAAAATATGAACTTGACTTCAAATATAGAAATCCTATGATGTTTCACCTTATATATAATAGATTGCTTTATTATTCTTCTAGGTTTTTACCCCGTCCTTAAGAGCCTTGTCCTCGTCTTCAAGAGCCTTGCCCTCGTCCTTAAGAGCTTTGCCCTCGTCCTTAAGAGCTTTGCCTTCATCCTTAAGAGCTTTGCCCTCGTCCTTGCCCTCTTCCTTAAGAGCCGAACCCTCAGCCTTAAGAGCCAAGCCCTCATCCTTACCAGCCAAACCCTCTTCCTTAAGAGCCGAGCCCTCGTCCTTACCCTCGGCCTTAAGAGCCTTGCTGCCCTCGCCCTTGTTCTCATCCTTAAGAACCTTATCCTTGTCCTTAAGAAGCTTATCCTCATCCTTAAGAATCTTGTCCTCGTCCTTAAATGACTTTTCCTCGCTCTTAAATGTCTCCTTATCCCTTGCCGTGACAGCAAGGACAAATATGCATACCAGAAACACTACAACAAACTTCTGCGCAACCGCCATTATTGTTTATTGTTTATTGTTTATCGTTTATTGTTTATTGTTTGGTAGTGTGTTTATTGTCTGTGTATATATGGGCAATGGTATTTATAGTTAACGCTAGGGGTTAGTTGTGGTGTTGCGTTGTTTTAGGATAGGATAGGACGCTTTAATTTAATTTAATTTGCGTATAGTACTTTTTCATCGGATTTATCACAAATTAAATCAATTAATTAAATGTGGATCTGGCCTGGTCTTCTTCCTTAAATTAATTCATTGGTCTTCCTTAATTCATTGCTTTACTGCTTCTTCCTCTTCCACTCAATTCAATAATTTCTCCCTCATCAGATCACTATAGCTTCGTCTTCAGCGCAGCTCCACAGCTTCCTCAATTCAATAGATTTGTTTATTTATTTAAGTTGTACTAAGTTTTATTATATTTGAATTTAAATAATTATAATTAAATTCAAATATAATAATAGAATCTTCAAAGTGGATACAATGTTTATTTTGGATAAACTCTTACTATTCATCCTAAATAATTATTTACTTATTGAATAAATATTAATGGAGCGTCAAGCACCTTGTGCTCAGATGGCATGTAGTGACCTATCTCATGTGAGAGGTCATGAGATCGAGTATGTTTGGGGCGTTGTTGGCTCTTTGTGCTTCATTAGGTTGAGAAAGTATGTTTGAATACATACTACAATGTAATAGAGTCAGTATCATTCAAAAAAAATATTGTTAATTAGGATGAAAATTAAAATATAGCAAACTGAAATTTAAAAAAATATGATAATATATATAATTAATTAAGTAAAATAATTTGAATAGAAAAGATATTATAAAACACTCATATCACTATTAATATTAAAAAATAAAAAAATATGATAATATATATAATTAATTAAGTAAAATAATTTGAATAGAAAAGATATTATAAAACACTCATATCACTATTAATATTAAAAAATACTTGGAATTGATCTCGAGCCAACTGGGTTGGTCTCTGGTTGATTTTTATTTTTATTTATTTATTTTTTTTCACTGGGGTCGAATAATGGTTCTTGCTGGGTATTTTGTCCTCCTCATTGAGTTGGTGGTATTTGGTGGAATTGTGGAATTTTATGAAGTTATAACTTGTGATTATTTTGTGGTGGAATGTTATACCTATTATATATTATAAACTTTATTTTGGCGTGAGTAAAACTTATTTTTGTATGAGAAATATATTTATATGGTTATAGCAATTGATATAGGAAAAAGAATGATTTTTTTTTTTTTACGTCTTTAATATATATATATATATATATATATATATATATATATATATATATATTTTTAACAAGGACCAAAAGGTCTAAAAACTACACAAATAGTCTACCAAGCACAAGGGCCAAAATGGCCTAAGAAAAGAAAGGCAACATGCCTAAGAAACATAAGGTCCACCCACCTTGGTGGACTTCCCTTATTCCCCCAAAAAATGATTAATGTGATATTTAATGTGATATTTTGTATGCAAGTAAAAATGATTATTGGTGAATCATGTGTTTCATACTAATAGTTGTTTCATATGTGTTATATGTTGATAGTAGAGTAATAATTTATAGTATGTTATCATGTGTTGTATATATATCATACTAATGTAGTGTTGAGCAGGGCCGGTTATAAGTATGTCTAGCATGTGCGATTGCACAGGGCCCCCAATTTTTAGGGGGCCCCATATTTAAAAAAAATTATGTATATATAATATACATGATTTAAGGTTAAGTGCAGGGAGATTGGACATATATATATATATATATATATATATATATATATATATATATATATATATATATATATATATATATATATATATATATATATATATATATGTGTGTGTGTGTGTATGTATGTATGTATGTATGTATGTATGTGTGCGTGCGAGTTAAAATTGTTTAGAGAGATTTTATCAAAAGAAAAGATAGTGGCAGTGAGTATATTGAATTCATTGAAATAGATGAGTTGTTTTCCAAATGTTACTATTGCATATCGAATATTATTGACTATCCCAATTACTATTGCCTCTGCAAAAATGAGTTTTTCAAAGTTTAAATTGTTAAAATCTTACTTACGATCAAGTATGTTGAAAGAGGGACTCAATGAAATAGTTTAATCTCCATTGAAAATGAGCTTTTGGAAGAAGTTGATATCAGAAGTTTGGTAAATCATTTTGTGTCTAAATGTGCACAGTGCATGTATTCACTTTTTAAATGAAATTTTAGATGTATTTAAATATAATATTTATATTTTGATACAACTTTTTGAACAAATATTATTTATATATAGAAATTACTTGGAAAGAGGACCCCAAATTAAGATTTTGCACAGGGTCCCAATTTTTATTGGAACGGCTCTGGTGTTAAGTAATGTCCTTACATGATGGTGTGTTTGATACTTAGCATGACTGGTTTCACAAATATCACTATTAATATTAAAACATGAGAAAAAAATACAATGTTATTAATAAAAATTTCACAAAATATGAAATATAATTAATTAGATAAAATAGTTCAAATAGAAAACATATTATACATCACTAATATCACTATTAATATTAAAAAATTATATTTAAAATTATAAGTTCCACTATATAATATTATTGGCAGAATAATAAATTTAGATATGTTGTTGATGAACGCCATGACCGCATAACTATGGGTCATTTAATTAGATGTTAATGTTTATTTTGAAAAATACATGATGGGTTTATAATTCTCATAATGAGAAAATAAATGAAAATCGCAACATATATTTTGTTTATGATGGATATGTTAGGAGAAGGGACTCGGGGCAAACCGACCCTGGGGTCGCGGCGTGATGCGAAGGGCCTGGGAGACCCCAATTGAGTCCCCGGCGTAGACCTCGGCTGAGGTCTACTACATGGACTCCAGTTGGGGACGACCTCAGCGCCGGCCAAGGTCGGAGTCAACCTCGGGGTCGACCTTTGACTCGAGCTACTCTCTTTCGTTGACGAAGACTCGCAACTCAGAGAGTGGGGGACTCATGATGGATATATTAGGAGAAGAT